TATATGTATATATATATGTATATGTATATGTATATATATATATATATATATATATATATATATATATATATATATAAGGGGAAAAATGATTGATTTAACATAATCAAAACAAAATTTTCATATATATAGAATTATGATATATGTTAGTTGGTTTGTTCATGGAGTGAACGGTTTTGAGAATCTATTACGTCTTTCCGAGATCGAGTTGTGTCGAATTACTTATATGTTATTAAAGACATGATATGTAGTGGCCTAATTAAAAATTTTCAAAGGTGATGCACATGATTTCACCCGATATTAGAATTTCTTTACCACAAACATCAAACAAGTGATAATCTAAGCCATAAATCACTTTCCCTTGGCCTGCATCATTCATCATTTTTCTTTGAGAAATTGAGGCAAGGAAACACATACATTTTATGGATATGAAATAGGAGTACTAATATGAAGGGAAAGGATTATTGGATTACATGGATAGCAATGCTGTGGAAGTATTAATATTTTTTCCGATCTTATTGACATTGTTTGAGCCAAAGATACCAGAAACATAGTCAACGCCCATTATGATACGTTGGAATGGGCAGTGAGCCCATAGTGACAAAGCTGTTTGGTCGTTTGGTTCTCGGAGTTGGTGTACCTACTATGGCTGCGACTTAAAGTGGAAAATCGATCACTATGATGTCAAAGTTTTAGATGTTTGGTTGGAGACCGGCACCTCGAGAAGCCTTCCTAATAAATGAAATGGTCCCACTCTTGATGTCATGGTGTGTGGCAAATATTTACATGGTGTATAATTATAGTATTTTTTTTTCTGTTTTGTTTTTAGTCCTATTAGACAATAGAAATCTGGGCTTAAGTTCGCGTTGGCCTCGGGTGCCATGATCTTATCCTTCTTTTCTATCTTTCTAATAAATGCAATCTTTTTTATTCTTTAATGGCATGGCAACATAGTGGTGAATTCCTGGTTTTCTTAATGAGGTTCTCTTGGTCTTCCTTGTATTATATCGGGAGAAAATGCCCATGATTAGTGGTTAGCTATTTTATTTACAAAGATATCAATGTTTATCCTTTCCTAACTTATTCCCTTCTCGTTCTTCCTCAACTCTTCTTCCCCAGCCCTCTTCCGCTCTCACGGTTCCCTCCACATTTAAAAGAAAGCAAAGAGAAGATAATGAGCCTAACTAGCTTAGGAGTTCACGTTTATAGTTGTGAATCTGCGTTGACAAAGGAGAGCAATGGAGAAACTGCAACATTCGTGAAGGACGAGAAGAAGAAGAGTTCCACCTTCGTAATCGATTGCCTACGTGAATAAAAAAATTATAAGCATCACCTACTTGGAGAAATTCCTCTAAAGCAGATCAAGGTAGCTAGTGACAGGGCTAATGTCCTGGAGGTATACTTTAATATACACCATTTTGATTCATGGACTTCTCTAAGGAGACTACGTTTATGATATGTTCCTCACCAACTACACGTAGTCAATAACGAAGGTGAAACCCATCTTCCCTTTCCCTTGGAGATGAAGAGATATCATGGGTATGGTATAGGTTGGGAAATAAGAGTTGGGTAAGCAGAGACTTTGGCTGAAAGCTGATTCATGTGGATGCCATCATAAAATGTGCTGCGCCGTAGAAAGAAAGGCGGAAGACGAGACAAACGATAACAACAGACAAGAAAAATCGTAAAAGTGTTCAAACGTCATCTTTCTTCTAGAAGAGTATAAAGAAAGAAAAAGATAACTGCTGACAGCTCATGCGGTGCGTCATCACCACAAAATGCCGCCATTCCTGGTCATCGATTCATCGGCAACAACCATTCTCTTCCAGCTCGTTTTGTATGGTTTACAGGCGGGCCGCCGTAGGGATCACCACTTCCTCGCTTTCTGACTATAAATATTCCTCTTCCTCCAACATCATGAACAAGCTACTGGTGCTTTTAAATCTTCATCACCATCGATAACAAACAAACATGGCGGAAGTGAAGAGCAAGATTTTGATCATCGGAGGGACGGGGTATATTGGCAAGTTCATGGTGACAGCCAGCGTTCGCTCCGGTCACCCCACGTTCGCTCTGATCAGGGACTCCACTCCTTCCGACCCCGCCAAGGCCAAGCTCTTAGAAGACTTCAAGGCCTCCGGCGTCACCCTTCTCCGAGTAACTTCTTCCTCCAATTCTTTCTCGTCATCTCACCTCTTCTGTTTTTCTTTTTTCTAATTTTTCTTTATCGCTGATGAGTTAGGGGGATTTGTACGATCACGAGAGCCTGGTGAAAGCAATTAAGCAGGTAGACGTGGTCATCTCCACAGTGGGGTTCATGCAGACGGCGGATCAGTCAAAGATCCTTGATGCCATTAAAGAGGCCGGAAACATCAAGGTTCTTAATAATTCTCCCCTGTTTCCTTTCCCTTTCTAATTTCTTCTGTGCGGGAATCCGGCAACGAAGCGGCCGTGAAATTAAATCTTTACGGAATCAAGAAAGATTCAAAAAAGAAAAAAAACTGTAAATGGCTTCCTGTTTCGGTGACTTTGCTTTTAGTTTGCCTTAATTGTTTTATCGGAGATTTCTATTGTTCAGTTTATAATCGTAGGGCCTCGCAGTTTTGCATCCTTGGTTTGCAATTTCACGAATATCGAGATATAAACAATGAATCTTCTAAGGTATCGAAACATGAACAATCATCTCTGCTAAATATGGCTCGTCTGTTTCTTTCACCGGTGAAAAGTCTATTGTTCTTCGGCGGTCACTTCTGAGCTTTTAGTTTCCTTCTTCTGAGCAGTTCTTGACAGTTGTTGTTCAACACGATTTCGCAGAGGTTTTTTCCGTCGGAGTTTGGGAACGATGTGGATCGTGCACATCTGGTGGAGGCAGCAAAACCAATTCTTGTCGAGAAGGTTCAATTTCGACGGACTGTCGAGGCATCAGGGATCCCGTACACCTTCGTGGCCTGCAACTGGTTCGCTGGTTACTTCCTTCCGACGCTGGCACAAGCAGGAGCTAGTGGCCTTCCCGTAGACAAAGTCACTATATTAGGCGATGGAAATGTCAAAGGTAAACGTATCAAAAGTACCCATCTCCGTGGATTTTCAGGAAATACGGGAAAAGAAATGATTTGAGTTTTTCGTCAGGACCATCAACAGTATTGGTATACTCTAAATAAGTCTCGCTTCTCACACATTTGTATTTGGATGTTCAGCTATATTTGTTGATGAAGATGATATCGGGACATACACCGTTAGGTCCGCCGATGACCCAAGAACTTTGAACAAGATTCTGTATCTGAGGCCATCTGCTAACACTCTAACGCATAATGAGCTTGTATCTCTCTGGGAGAAAAAGGTTGGCAGGACTTTTGAGCGGGTTTACGTCCCTGAAGAAGAAGTTTTGAAGCAGATCCAAGGTGTGTAGAAAGACTTCCCGAGCTCATAGTTGTTTTGATTAGACACCAATCTGGTAATTTAAATCAACTCACTAACCATCTACTCATTTCTTCAGAAGGACCTTTCCAAATGACCATCATACTTGCGATCATGCACTCTGTTTTTATCAAGGGGGATCACACCAACTTTGAAATCGATCCGTCATCTGGTGTGGAGGCTACTGCACTCTATCCTGATGTCAAATATACGACTGTAGATGAATACCTGAATCGCTTCCTCTGAGAATATGCCGCGAACATATTTCTATAGCCAATAAACACGCAAGTAAAACAGTTCAATGGCTTTCTCCGTGGCCAATGAACACGCCATCTAATAACATTGGCTTCTTGTTCATGAGTTTGTCACTCCATTGTTATTCGTTTCACATGAAAGCTTATCATTTTAGTTGCTGCAATGGCATTGTACGCGCTTGATTGTTGAAAAGCATGGCTCCAAGTGATTCTGGATTTCTATCATTTTGATTAATAGCAATCATATGCTCTTTTTTTTTTTCCTGTTTCCTCTGATCACTGATTTAGAAGCTGGATGAGTTGGAATATTTCTTATTGAATCCTCCGGATCTGTAAATAGAAAGAGAAGAGTCGTTATACTTGCGTCCAAGTCACCTTTTTGAAGTGTCACATTACTGGTTGGAGCAGTGGCTTGGTATTGTCAACCGAAAGTTGATGAATCTCTACAAAAGCCATGAACACTTTGGGCGGTAAAGTCCACACAAGGAGGGTTTGGTTGAAAGGTTGATGGATGATCCGGGAGAGTTCATACGATACTTACGAAAACAAGGGAATTGACGATTTATACAAGTGATACATGCGACCTAAGGGATGTCTCAGGACAATCTCTTCATGAGTGAAAACTTTCGAACAACATAGCTGAAAAGAGATAGAAAAGAATAACTGAAGAAGCTTGATTGTATTCACATGTCCGCTCCTATCAAGGACGTCAATCTTGAACCGATATAATATAAAAAGGTGGCGAGCGAGGGATTTCGTGAGTGAGCCGGCTAACTGATCAACCGAATGGACATGAGAAACTCGTAGTTGACGACGGACAACTTGATCTCGCACAAAATGGAAGTCGATAGCAATATGTTATGTGTTGAATCTCGGATTTTG